CCCCAAAACCCCAAAACCCCAAAACCCCTGAACTATCAATATTGCTTTGAATTAGTAAAACAAAATTAAAATAATAGTAATTACCAATTAAATAAAATGAGTGATCAATAGACAGCTAACACTTCAACTTAATCAGCTGCACAGTCACTATCTAGCTCAACATCTACGACTACAACTGATTCCAACTCTTCATCAACTAATTCAACCTTTGACACTTCTGAGCCCGAGGAAAACAAGTACAAACAGATATACTCCAAGATGCAAAAGTCCTTCCTAGCAACAAATGTCTCTTTAAATACAACTTAGTACATTGAGAGGTAGCGAATGCTCGAAAGATATAACAAATTCTCCAAGTACGAGTCCAAAAATCACCTAAACCACTTCGTCTAGTATGATAAATTCTGGAAAACCATGCAAAGCGCTATGATCGTCTATGATACTGTGCTCAAGCAGTAAACTATTGATTTAGTCTTATGTGATCACTTCCTAGAGGGGGCATTTGTCCCAGAACCATAATAGAAAATCATTTTATGTGCTAATACATTGCTGAGGAGAGAAGACTTTGACAATGCGATGAAGCGCATGCTAGTAAAGATGTACGATTATAACAGAGCAGGCTCTACTTATAATCCTGATAACTGCAAGCATCTTGCCTGTACTGAAGTCAGAGCAGCACTATTCAGTTCCAAATGCAATATTAGAGACAGGAAAAAGACGAAAGCATTGGCATTACAAAAAACTCATAAAGATAAAGCTATAGCGAATGAGTTTTGTGTTAAAGATCTTGCCATATAGCATCTAAAAGAGAAGAGCAAGTGTTTAGCAAAGGCTGATCGCTACATTGACTATGTATTCGAGAGGTGTAAAAATGATAATGCCCCTAATAATCTTAATAAAATATCCAAGCTTAAGAGTTTTAACGACATTATGTGAAGCGCATGTTTTCAAATAGAGATCAGTAGTTTTATATTGTTTATAGATTAATTAGTGCCTCACAATACATTTCTTTAATCAGATATAACGGGGTTTTGGGGTTTTGGGGTTTTGGGGTTTTGGGG